GTTGTAAATAGTTTTTACAGTATGGTTTAAACTGTTCCTGTGTGTCTCTTCAGAGAGGCTCTTTCTTCAGTAGTGGGTTAAATGATCCCAGAATATTTTTTTTAAGTGCTCAGTCATTTATGGTTCTACAGCTCCAAGGATGTAAAGTGTAACGGGGCTGCTAATTATGAATATTTTTTATTGATTGAAGTTACAATATTATCACTTCCTTTTTTATTTATATAAACCGCGTTACAGAACACGTTGCAGGACAAGTTTTATGTGCAGACAGAGTCTGACCCTGGGATACACTTTCAGGCACAATTTCACTCCTTTCTGTGACAGTCTGCCTTGTTGAAAGAAAATGGATGTATACCAGAGTCTCCTAGGGATCTCAATTTAGATACTATGTTAACTAATGCTAACTAAACAGGCGAGAGCCCTTTTTGCATTTGTTCTTTAAAGCAACTTGGACTAACCTCCACGAGTTGTCCTTCCTGACAAGCTTTAAAGACAAGATTTTCTTCACAAATCCAGCCCTTTTTTACAGCTCGCAGGCAAACTTTGACTGCTTATCCTAGTCTAGGTGCTGCAGTAAAGTTTATGTTTCATATATGCAGCTGACAATCGAGGTTTTCAAGTCTTCTAATCTTTGGAAACATCTGACATTCTCTGCAGGTTGCAGAGAAGAGGAGGAAATTAAATTTCCTGGCATTTTCTATGAATTTCAATTTTTCATTAAAAAAAAAAAAGATAGGAAACCGTAAAGGTTAAATATTTTGTGGTAGCTTTTGTTTGCTTTCTATTGCTGTTCTTAAACCGAGTAACTATAAACACAACCAGGGTGTAGAATGCAGCAAAGACATTACTGACAGCCACATCCGCCACATCCTCTCAATGTGTTCATCCTAATGGGCACCGTGTAGTGAAGTGCAATGCAGCGGTTAGAGAACTACTTTAAACACAAATTAAAGAAGTGGTCAAACAACCCACTATCTCTGATCATTATTTCAGTACATTTTTGAGTTTATCCTTTTCAGAACCCACTGAAAAAGAAAACATACGTGGAGCCTGGAGAAAAATAGTGGTTGAGCGTCCATTAATTAAGCTTTGTATTTGTTCAAAAAATCTTACTAATTTCACCTATGGTAGCAATGACAGAACCACCAGCACATAGCAATAACCAGTATATTGGTAAGTAATATTTGCTGACTTTCATTTTCTGTGACTTTTCTGTCATTATGATACCAAGGAGGAAAACTTTCCGGCTTCAAGGATAAAAAAGTGCCAAGCATTTATAGAAGTTCCAGCAACCTAGCATTCTGGACAGGATAATCATGCTCGTGTTTCATGCTTAAAATACACTCTCAAGCCCTAACCCTCTATTAGTTGCCAAAATGTAGCAAATCCAGATTTTCTCTTTTTTTTTTTTTTTAATTTTTTTTTTTTTACTCTGTGTAATAGCAGTTTTCCCTGTTCTTGACATAGAAGAGATTTGGTGCTAGGGTTTTTACATATGTGTACACACACACATATATATAAAATTTCTCTCATTTATAAGGGAAGCCTGACAAAAAGAGGGACTCTAAACAGAATAGGATTAAGATAGCTTTTTCCCTCATTTATCACAATCTACAGATCTTTTAGCAAGCTTCCTATCGATAATAAATGCAGCTCAAACTCGGATGCATTTCAGATATAATCTAAGTAAACGTTTTTGCTCCTGGAGACTGGTCTTATAACTGGTCTCTTTACATGATAAGATTCTTGCAGCAATGCACATAGCAAATACTATTACTGTGTGTTGGTACAGAAATCCCCTCTAGGAAAGCCTTACGTATGATATTTGGATGCCTAGCGCTACCAGAGAAATTCATTGCAATCTATTTTTGCTAGAAAGCCCCCTCTGCAAACAATGGCTCTTTAAATCATTGGGACTATCCATGTGACATGGGCCAGTGGGCATAAACTGATTTAAGGATTTTAAATTTAAAACAGGTTGGTAATCCCTAGCGGATGATGTGACTGTGCAAATGGAACCTATCAGGCTGCCCTGAGAGCCTGTAGACAGCACAAACCAGTCTGAGCCTGAAGGTCTAATATTTCCTCTTCTAGAAAAGGGACGCAATATCTATCTGCATTTATTTATGAAGGAGGAATCTGCACCACTTGAAGGGGAGTTTCATTCTCAGCTGCTGATTTCTGAACAGACAGCAATGTTTTATCCACATCAATGGAAAACTAAAATAATTTTCAAGTTTAACAGCTATTGTCAAACTACCATCTTGTACACTTTTAACATAACCGCCAGTCCCCCTGTACATCTCGCACACCACGCGTGCCCTGGAATCAAATAACCAACGATTTCCTAAGCAGGCATGAGTTCCGTCTTGGGAGTTGCTCTGCCTGAGCCTCCCTCTCCCATTCCGCTCCTGTGCAAAGTCAGCGGCAGGGAGGTGCAGCTGGGCACATCAGCCCTTACCACCCCGAACAGTCACCCAATAAAAGGCACTGGGTGTGGGGGAATTCAGGAATCCAGTGGAGCTGGAGGTAGAAACTAGGAGTTTCAGTCATGGGCAATTTTATTGGGACACCACATACTTTGCAAACACAAGAGCACAGCGGTGGGCTGTGCAGGATTAGTACGTGGGTAAAAGTGACTTAAGGGAAGCAGAGTCAGGGAGCTGAGAGGGAAGGAGAATGAGGTGGGTGAGGGAACCTGGGGAGCAGGACCAGAACTGGATACTGACGAAGAAGGAAACTGAAAGGGGGGGACATGCCCTTGTAAACTGCAGGACTTGGCAGGACTGCTACAGCATCTAGACTGGTGTCAGAGTCAAGCTGACCTTGCTGATAAAGAGGCAAGGCTCGGGATGAGCATGGGGCGTGAGATACTGTCAGGGAGCACCAAGAGCAGGGCCGCTCCGGGGAGGCAGGCAGGAGGCAGGCCAGGAGCTGAGAGCAATCCCACCCCAGGCAGTACCCGGACTGACACAGTGCCGTCCTACAGTACCTGAAGGCAGCAGGTTGAGCCAGGTGCTGGTAATGGGATCCACTGACAGCCCCCAACAAGGCAAGGTGACAAACTAGGGTGAGGGTCTATCCAAGGACTCCGGTCAGCAGCAGCTGGATATGGGGTTGGAGGCACCGCTATAAAGTAAGTCCCAGGTCCATCCAAGAAGCAAGGGTAGGGACCAACACTCATACAACAGCTGAATGCCCCAGGCTGAGCTTCAATGAGCTCCTGAGCCCTTGGGGTGAGGGGGAGTGGGAGGGTGGAAGCCAGGTGAGGCTGGTTGGGGCCATTAAGGCCTATTAGCAGGAGGGAAGGGGAAAAACAGGGAAGAGGTTTTCAAATATTTAATAAATGAGATGTGTTGACTTCTTCCTTTCAGCAACAGACGTTAGCTCCGTGAGACTGAGGTCTTGTTGGCATTCAAAGGTTCTGCAACAACTGTCCAAAACATAAATAGAGCCTCCACTGTTAGAGGATCTTCTTGTACCAACGCTGATCAGCCAGTTCCCTTGAACGTATAAGTCATATTGACAAAATGACATTTCGATAGTTTCATCTGCCAATGCGGATACTTGGTGAGAAATCTGAGGTCCTGGTATTTCTAGCCAGCATAGCTATACTCCTGAACTCCTGAAGTGTAAGCAAGTTGAGAATCTCTCCGTTATTCAGGTGTCAACAAATGTCTACACATCTACAAATGTCCCATCTACAGCACTGTGAAACCAATAATGAGCTTAAAGTTTCCTTACAGACAGACCAAACAAATAAAGCTTATGCACACAAAAAATTCTGGCTCTTTTAGGTAACATTAAACAGGATTTTTCTGTATCTACCATTAAAAAATATTCTATAGGGTACTTCACAAGTGCAATTCTCCAGAGTAAAGGTATGTACCAGTTTTTATGCCCAGGTTCACCTGGATTATTTCAACAGCTTTTCACACTTCTGGTAAAAAAGTTCCCCAATAAAAAATATGCATCTGCAGCTCTGAACAACAGCCCAAAATACCTGTTTTTCTGGCCATCTCTTAATAACTTAACACTGTCCTGAAATGAGCATCAGGAGTCCAGAACCCACCTATGTTTCTCAACTGTAAAATCAGTTTGTTTACTGTAACAAAAATCTCCCTATGCATGACAGGCTAACCAAAAATGTGTTTGAAAAAAAGGAACTAAAGGGTCCACACTGACTTTTATCTGAGAAATATTAGTTAGATCCCCCCTGCAGTGGTGATGGCACCACAGTATAAATTACTGTTTTCATTGAGGCTGCTTCAGTACAGGGGGAAGCCCCGCTATGGAAGGATGGGATTCAGCGAGAGCCAGTGTACCTGCAGGGTAGCTCTCTTCTAGGAACTTTAAGTATTTCTGTACTACTTTGCAAATACAATATAGGCATACTTACAACAGAGGCCAAATATAGCTATAATCAGCTGCTTTCCTGGGAGATGCAACATTCTTTTTATTTTGGTGTCATTCACAAGGATAAAGCAGTCAATTGCAATTTTTTATTTACATAAATTGGGAATTCAGCTTGAGGTCAGAAAGGCTGATTTTATTGCTGTCTTTCAAGTATACACTGCTCACTTCAACTGGCTTTGCAGCATAACAACGGCAGAACAAATTTACCTTTTTTTGCAGAGATAACATTGGAAGCCCCATCGCTGAATTCCATGATTTGTTCACTTGGGCAAACACTTGTAAAAGAGAGGAAGCCCCCAGCCTGCAATAATCCATTGATGAGACCAAAAGCATCAAAATAAAAAGGACATTTTAGGTTTCGTGGGAGTTGACAACGCTTTATTATAAGAATGAAACATTGCAACAAGGTGTTGGATCATTTATTGAAACTAATGTTTGCATAACTTTTCAGTGGTTTGAATTCGTATTTGTAACATTTGAGACTTAAAAGAAATAATAAGGGAAAGGAATAGCCCCCGCCCCAAAAAAGAACAGCCCCCCCCCCCCCCCCCCCCCCATTTTTTTTTTAACATGCCTGTGTGGCAAGAATGCTGGAAGTTTGACAAGGGTGGTACCATCTATATACATTTAGGAAAACATGCTTGCTGTGGGTGTACAAAAATAAAATTTATTTGTTAAATTACACATAAATATAAGGTACAAATGTATTTTTAAAATACAGATAAAGATAATCACACTTGCATTGTGTACATATGAAAATACAGTATTTTAATATTCAACATACACAGACACATTTATGATAAATGCAACTAGTTGGCAATGCCAGTTCTTCTCAGTCTGTTTTTTGTTCTTTATTTTTTCCCCTTCCGGTTTTCCATAAATATGGAAAAATAGGCTTTTGAAACAATTAGGTCTGCCGGACATCTTGCAGCAGCTTGTTAATTTCTGCCACCAGCTCACTGGCATCCATGAGTTCGTGTTTACCATCACTGAGGTGGTTGAGCACATTGTCAAAATCATCTTCTTCATAATTCTCTGGGATCTCCTCCATGGCTGGCAGCCATTTAGAGGAAGGCTGCGCGCTCGAGTGAGTCCCCAAAGTGGGCCCGTTGCTGGCAGGATTTTGGAAATGTGTGCTGGCTGCCCAGGCTGCCACCCCCTGTGGATAATTTACAGTCTTGGCTGGCAAATGTCCCTTCCTGCGCTCCAACGAGTTGGAGCGATCCATCTCATTGCACTCCGTGTAGGCATCCAGCGAGGGAGGCAGCAGGCGCTGGAAGACGCTGCTCATTTCAGAGAGGAGAGAGGAGGTACAGGTGTCCCCCGACTCCTCCTCGCTCTGGCAGTCTTTACCAAATGTTGAAAAGCTCTTCTTCTTCTGGCTGGCGTCAGCAGGCTGTGGATCTTCCTCGAGGCCCTGCTGCTGTTGCTGCTGCTGCGGCGGCAGCTGCAGCTGCTGCTGGGGGGACTGGAACTCCTCCCCAGGGATGAACATGTTGCTTCTGTAATCAGAGGAGGGAGAGGGCAACGGTGGCATCCAGCACTGGTCAGAGTGCCCCAGAACCCTGCACTCCTCCGTGCACAGCCGCATCGCTGCAAGAGAGAAAAGAGGAGAGTGAGCATCCCCTTCCTGTTGCAGATCTCTCTTACATTCGCAGGGACTAACACAAGGACTGAACTTCTCCAAAGATGTTCGAATCGGGCGTTTGGGTTCACTTTCTGTGTGCAGGAAGGTGGCAAATACAAATGGTCTGGATCTAAACTTCCATTCTGAATGGTCTCAGAAAATGAGAACGATAAATGCAGAACATGTAAGACAGTAATGTGATCTCTTAGCTAGGACTGAAGATAAACATGTAAATCCCAGGTGGAAAACAAGCACTTGTGACTTAAAGCCATCTGCTCCCTTTGTATGGTGGTGTTTCATTAAAAAAAAAATAAAATAAAATGAAGGTGTTTCTACCTCCAAGCATTTACTTAAGTTTAGTGAAGTCTTCCACACGCAATTAGAGAAGCATATCAGAGTAATAAAGTGGGAATAAATGGAGAGGGGAAAGAAAGAAGAAAGAACAATAACATGCAGAGGGATCTCCCTCTTCATTAACACACCTCCTTTTGATCTGACAACGAGGTGTATGTTGAATATGAGGCGATCCACTGCCATATTACCTTTTGAACTGAATCAGTTAAATTTTAATCCAGTATCAGAATACCTAGGGCTTAATTCACACCCCGTGTGACTCCAGTGTTTATACTAGAGTTACGCGGAGGTGCACTTGCAGCTCTGTAGGCTCAGGTTACTGGACCGTGCTGGCTCCGGCGTTGGCACAAGGGGGGCTCTAACCCCAGGGTGGGCATCCAGGCCAGCCAGGAGGGCTGGAGAGCAGAAGACAAGAGAGCTGCTCTTTCAGCTGCCTGGTGTTAGTGGTGTCTCTCAGGGAGAAGCAATACGATGGGGCAAGTGACTGCATCCCTGGGAGCTACGCTGGCCTGAACTGGCCCATGGAGAGGCACTGCGAGAGTCCTCCGCAAACACCCGAAGAGGTCTGGGAATGGTCCCTGGAAGCGGAGACAGGCAAAGCCCTATTTGACAGACCTGCAAAGAGAGAGGTGCCAGGAGAGAGGCCAAATTTTCCTCTCCAAAGGGAACCGACTCTCTAGGACACAAAGCCTCGGCTCCGGCTGGGCGCTGCCTGGGTGCCTGGCAGACCTGCAGGAGAAGACCTAGGCACTGCAGGGGCCACTAACTTGAATCTGAGTCACATGCTTCAAAATAAAGTTTTCAGAAACTCCAGACTCTTTGCATTATGCATATTTTGACCGTTAAGAAGCTTTTGCCCTAATTCTCTATCAATTAATCGTTAGATTAGCCCATGCAGAGCAGAGTTTCTTTTTCTTTCTCTCTTCATATATTGAACACATAAGAAATGTTTGCAGTCATGCCCTGTAAGTTTTCCTCGCTTTCTCATCACGTTTCCCATCTGGCTCTGGATCCACTCGGTTTATCAAAAAATCTTTTTGCAAGGGTGTAAGCAGAACTGAACAGAGTATTTCAGCTCAGGCCATACCAGTGATTGATAAAGTCCTACTCTTACCCTGTCAGCGTTATTTATCTCTGCGCTTTACACAGCCTATCATATTGTTTGCTTTCCTAATGCCCTTTCCATTCCTCTGAGTATAAACTTTCTCGGTGTCTTACATGTGAGTGTATGAATTTCTTCAAGAATACAGGTTCAGGCTGCAGGCTGGATATTGCACAAGCTACTGCAAATGGCTTGCTGATCAGTGAGCTTCAAACAAAAAAGCAACCTAGAAAATATCAGGGGCTGAAGTTTTGATACGAGTGACTGAAATGCCTTCAAGTGCTTTGTTCCAATGTATGAAAAGCACACGTGTGCTGTTTTACAGAAAATGCCTAAGAGTTAGAAAAGAGAAAAGATATCGAAGTGACCCATGGAGCCTGGACCAGCTTTCAATTCATCCCAGCTCTCAACTCATCCCAGCAGGTGAGGATTACTCTTCTAATTAAGAAGACTCCTGTAAATTAATGGGAGACTTTCAATGGTCTAGCATTTCATTAGCAGTGAGGGTTGTCTTATTGGGAGTTTTGTTATCAGGGTTGGTTTTGGTATAAAATAATAAATTCCGACATTCCTGAACATAAGATCAAAAGATACTCTGAGGAAACTGAATGCTGTCACAGGCTGTCCTTAAATCAGCAATAAATAAAAAAAAAGCAGCTGCACAACAGCATTTTTTTTTTAAAGCTTATTGGTGAGGATTTAAAAAGTGAGAGAGGAAGCAACAAGTCTTTCAAGTCTTATTGAACTTTCTGCTCACATCATTTTTGAAGTTTCGAGGGACCGGCTCTGTTCCCTTCCAGTTCCACCTTAAGGGGACAAACTGAAGGGACTTTCTCACAGCATTTTGCCTGTGTCCAGACTGACAATGCAGAAACCTTTCAAAATGGAGAACAGGAAACCTCCAGGAAGTTTTCTTTTCCTTTTTATTTGTTTGGACTGCAGCTCAATTCAGGTCTCATCTGAACAGGTTCAGCATACTTATCTGATGGATTAAGACCACGCATAGAGGCAAAAGGGCATCTGGGCGAGATTAAATGCCCGTCTCGATAGCCCAACTCAGTTCTGTCTGTACTCGGCAGGAGTTTTCCTTACTGTGAATGTGATTAGCGTTGGGTGAAGGCTGGAAATCCTACCCTTTGCCTTCCTGTTTAGAGACCAAATTGCAAGAGCTAAAAATGAGTCATGGGCATTTCAGCTAGCCAAGAGGGTAACCGCTTCCCGCCGGGAAGGGGCCAGCTCTTCCTTGGCAGCAGCAGGGCTGGATGCCAGCGCCAACACCAGTGCACTCGAAGTCCCCCTGGCAACTGAGAGCTCCAGCAGACCCCTCCCTGCCTCCTTGCTAACCACAGGAGAGAATGAGACATGCCTCATGCTAGCTGGCAGAGGAATAAGCAGTAGGAGCTGGGGGAGACGAGGATAAAAAACATTTTAGGACTCCAGATTTCCATTAAGGGTTCTGAAAAGAGAGTAACTTTTCGAGGTCTCTGGTTTTGAAACATTGGGTACATAAGACTAAGTTGAGGAGGTAGGTGAAGGTCTGGGTAGGTGATACAAGACCTGTTCTGGAGCAAAATATACAAAGAAAATTTTGAAGTTAAAACGTATAAGAAGAACAAATTAAACTTTTGAGGTTTACTCTTGCCTAGCGTAACAACGTATTTCTCAGGTACAACGCACCGAGGTCAGGTACGATCCCCTCACCGGTGTTTTCCGTGGCAGCAGAGAGAAGGAGCTGCAGGGCTGCTCTCCTCCAGAACTGGGCAATATGAGGGGGTCGCTTTAGGAGAGACTATGTCCTGCACTGCCCCACAAAGCAGTGCGCCCCTGTGTATAAAATGACTTTACTAAACTTTTTAAGTTTACACTCTTGGTTCAGTGAACCATACTGAAATTATCCGGCCCTGTCCGTTATACAGAGAAAACTAAATATGATCTGAAATAAGTACAAGATCTAGGGTACAACCAGTGGCTGTACAATTACTGAAGTAATTACACAATTCTCATATCTGTACTTAGTGGGATTTCCCATAGCCTCTTTTATTCAACATATAACTGGGCATAAATTTAAAAGTGGTACTCCATACACATGAATATGTACGTGTGTGTTTATCTTACTTTCACTCACCCTTTTCTAGCTTTTTTCTTTTCTGCCCTCTGCCCCTGAATTGTACCCCTTGAGCTCTTTCTTCTAGAAATTAGGGTTGCAAGATTTAAAATCTGGGACAGATTTAGATCCTTCCCTCGCCACTCGAGCTCATTTTTCAGTGGGAAAAAAATACACTTTTCTTTCTTCTCCATCCATATTTCTAGACCACTTTCACAATCCATTTCTGAACGGCAGAAGTTTGTATCATACGGACCAAACCCACTGTGGAAAATGTATCTCCCAAATTATAGTTCAGTGTTATTTTTAACAAACCACAACTGCCTGGCTTTGCAAAAACATCCACCCAGTCATTAAAAGTCTAAGGCCATGGAGGAGATCGTGCTTTTGGGGGGAATTTGGAGCCAGCTCATGATGATGCGAATAATAGAAAAAAAAAGTAGGCATTGCTCTGGGCGGATTTTCAGTTGTGTCTGAGGTTTCATTTTACTAGATATGTGAAGGCTTCAGCTCAATATTTATCATGAAGCACAGCAAAAAGGAAAGAAACACAGGACTTGAAAGCTAAAGAATTTTTGCTTTCTCAGTAGTAGCTTCATCAAAGTGACAGCCAGGCAGCACTGTAAATAAACTGTTCAGCTTCCATTGTGCTCTTACCTGCAGGAATTCTCCCATCTGTAAGGAAAAGGTCACTGAATCCTTCCCCAAGAAGTCTGTCAATTGGAGACTCTCTCCCCAAATCATAATCACTGTCTCCAGCTTCACTATCACCCCGGCCACTGTCTTTCAAGCTGAATTTATCCATATCTTGTAGGGCATACCTGCGAAGAGAATTGTGGTGATGGTGGAATTACGTTATCTCACATATGTTATATTCCACTTTTTGATTAAAAATACACATCTATATTTTCTGATACATGTACATGCACGTGCAGCAGAACAGTCCAGATCCTTACCTGTAGCTTCTGGAATACTTGTTTCCTCGAAAACTTGGCCTTGGTTGATACTGGCCCTGGTGAAGCATCGAGAGAAGCTGAGAAACCTGCTAAAGAAAAGGTGAAAAGACTGATTCCTTGAAATGAAAGCTCAAATTCCTAGTTGTAAAACCACTAATTCACTCCACAAGTTGGTTTGTTGGGTGGTGGTTTTTTTTTTTTTTTTCTTTAAACTTTAATTAAATCAAATTCCTGCACATATATAATACATTACAACAGACTATTTTGTAGTGTAGTGTCTGCCACAGCAAACATCTGAGGACATTGTACAATAAGGAAATGCCCTGCTGTTCATTAGCCTCTGAACTCGTAATAATTAATTCATTAACAAGTAAAACAAGTAATGAAACAGAGGTGGAGTTTTGTTTTAATAGATCAGAATCAACCCCTCAACCATTCCAGGATCCTAATTCAAAAACTAATTCCCTCCACAAGTTGGTTTGTTGGGTGGTGGTTTTTTTTTTTTTTTTCCTTTAAACTTTAATTAAATCAAATTCCTGCACATATATAATACATTACAACAGACTATTTTGTAGTGTAGTGTCTGCCACAGCAAACATCTGAGGACATTGTACAATAAGGAAATGCCCTGCTGTTCATTAGCCTCTGAACTCGTAATAATTAATTCATTAACAAGTAAAACAAGTAATGAAACAGAGGTGGAGTTTTGTTTTAATAGATCAGAATCAACCCCTCAACCATTCCAGGATCCTAATTCAAAATAAAATGTCATTGCTCTACATGTAAAGAGTTACCAGGACACAGCTCTCATTTAAGCCATTACATAGCATTTGCAGTAAAAACTGAGATGGGTAGTCTCAAAGTTTGAGATACTACAATCCTATATTACAACAGCCGTACTTAAACCGTGTCAGTGTTTAACCTTTTAGTTCTCCATCCCCACGAATGAAAGAATTTCCTGTATTGTTTCTCTATATAAACACTCTGGCGCTCTTTCTTAAACAGAGCTACACAGAGGGAAAGGGAAGGCAAGGAAGAAAGAAAGAGCAGTAAACCAGAGCAGAGTACTGTCCGTGTTACACTCTGTTGTTTCGACCTGACAGAGAAAAACCAAGAAATAATGCTATTAATAACAGATTTAATCCTGTTCCCCATAGTGATGGATTCAGTTGATACTGGAGTAAAACTGCAAAGCTGTGACATCTAACGAGAAATCCATAACACGTTCTCATTAGGCACAGACCTAATTGCCTGTTGCTCTCACAGGCTGCACGCAGAGCACCTCCGTGCTCCCAAGTGGATGCATGAGCGAATGGGTGTGCAAAACGAGGTATGGACCTTACCTCAACAGCCGGCGTAGCATGGGTGAGTTCCAGCGAGAAATTTTCGGGCACGTGGTTAGAGGAGATTGTCACCAAGCTGTTCAGCGATTGGTGGCTGTGGTGGCTCTGCCGGCTGCTCATTTGTCCCCTTTCCAGGGTCGGCGAGGATGACGGCGAAGCTCTGTGGTGAGATCTGATGGGTAAAGTGCCATTAACCGTTGGCACTAATGTAATGTCCCCTTTGTGGATCTGCCTTGAGGGTCGTTTTGGGTGGTGCTGGTAGGTCGATTCTGCCACGCGACAGTTGTAGGACCTGGTGTCCTTTTTCTCTCGATTACATCTCGTAGCAAAGATAACCATAATGACCAACAACACGGCACATATTGATCCTAAGGATATAATTGTTATCATGGAGACATCCAGGGAAGGCTGGCTTACCAAAGTTGCTTCTGTGCTTGAAAATGAATAAACATACTCAAAAACGGTACATTTCAGGAGTGCTTTAGTACTAAGCTGAGGGCTGCCTTTATCCTGGACTATCACAAAAAACTCCCATTGTTTTGCTGGAACTGATTCAACGCTCACGTTAATAGAGATGTCACAAGTTTTGGGATCCATCACAAAGATGCTGTTTTCCTTGTCAGCTGCTATGGAGCAGCTGAGTTCAGAGTTCATACCAGAGTCTCTATCTGTAGCCCTTATCCTGGTGACAAGAAAGCCAATGCCAGCATCTTTAGGGATTGAGATTTCTGCTGTGCTGTTGCGTAGCGCTGGCCCCACAATGACGGGAGCGTTGTCGTTCTCGTCAATGATGGTCAGCACAACCGTGGTGTTGCTAACAAGCTGCTGACTCCCTCCATCCCTAGCTTGCACCATAAAGGCAATTTGATTTACTTCTTCGTGATCAAACGTTCGCAGGGCGTAGATTGCTCCGTTGGAAGGATCGATGGTCACGTAGGTGGTTATAGAACTTCCCAAAACATAGCTCTCCAAAATAGTGTAGGTTACCTGCCCGTTGTCGCCTAGATCTGGGTCTGTGGCTGTGACTGATGTGATGTACGCTCCCGGAGAGTTATTTTCCAAGATAACAACTTCATATCTGTTTGTCTGGAAGCGGGGTGCGTTGTCATTTTCATCACTGATTTGGACAGTAAAGTGTTTCACTGTGGAGAGACTTGGCGTTCCCTTGTCCTCCGCTATTACAGTCAAGCTGTATTCAGATCTCTTTTCCCTATCTAGAGTGGCATTAGTCAAGATTAGATAGTTATTTTCATAAGTCTTTTGAAGTTTAAAGTGGCCGTGACCATGGAGCTTGCAAACTATCTCTCCATTCACGCCAGAGTCCTTGTCTTGCACTCTGACCAGGGCAACAAAAGTGTCCAGGGGTGACCCTTCTGAAACGTAAGCTACCTCTTCTTTCTCTGGGGACATCAGGTTTAAGTTAATTTCAGGTCTGTTGTCATTGACATCCACAATTTTAATTATAATTTTGCAGTGAGCTGGAATAGAATTCGGCCCCAAATCTTGAGCCTGAGCATCGATTTCATAGGATTTGGTTACTTCATAGTCCACTTGCTTCAGGAGGGTCAGATGTCCTTTTTCTGAATCGATCTTAAAAGTCTCTATAATTTTGGCAGACACATGACTACTAAAAGAGTACACGACTTTACCGTTAGCGCCCTCATCTGGATCAGTGGCATTGAGGTCTATGAGCAAAGTCCCAATCGGCGAATTCTCTAACAGTTGGATTATATATGACTGTTGCTCGAAAGCAGGGCTGTTGTCATTGGAATCAGAAATGCTTATTTTCAGGAGGGACGATCCAGATTTCTGAGGCACCCCCTTATCTGAGGCAGTGAGCTGGAGTTCGTAACTTGACTTCAACTCCCGGTCCAGCTCTCTAACCACGATCAGCTCTGCGTACTTAGCACCGTCAGTCCTGGTTCTCACCTCAATACTGAAAAAATCATTTGCGGAAAGGGAATAAGTGTGAAGGGAGTTGTCCCCTACATCTGGATCAAAAGCGCTGTCCAAAGGGATCCGGGTTCCTACCGCTGCGCTCTCTGATATTTCGATAGGGATAAGAGCTCTGGAAAACTGGGGAGAGTTGTCATTAATATCCAGCACTTCGACTTCAACATGGAAAAGCTGCAGATGGTCAGTGGGCAGAGTGATCACATCAAACTCTATGGAGCAGTTTAAGTTTTTCTGGCAGAGTTGCTCCCGGTCAATTTTAGCTCCTATGCTGATTTCTCCGTTATCCTCACGGACTACAAGCAAGGGAGAATTCCCCCTCTGCATGGCTCGAAAGCGAACCGAGGAAGGGTTAGGCATTTTTAATAAAACATCAGCTACATCCTCCGACAGTCTTGCAATTACTGATCCAACTCTCTGCTCCTCATAAATCCTGTATTTCAAATTCTTGCCCAGCACAGCCTTATTGAAAGATACTATCACCAGTGCAAAAATGAATATAAAGTGCATTTTACCGCCGATTCGGTGCGTTTGTAAGTTTTTGCAATTCATTTCTCCAAGCAAGTTAAAAAGCAATTATTTCGACTTCCTCCGGCACCGTAAACCCAGCGCGCATCTGGTCCTTTAAAACTTGACAACGCCTTTCCCAGTCAGCCAAGTATTAGTATCTTACCGGATCAGAAAACTTTTTTTTTTTTGGATACACACCGCGCCAGGAGCATCCAGATACAATCTGTACGCAATCCACGCTTTCTCATTTGACTCCCCGCTCCTCTCGCAGGACGAACGGCGGGGGGGGGGGGGGCCGCCCCCCCCCCCCCCCCCCCCCCC